GGTGATATATTATAAGGGTCTCTCACCAATATAATACTAGTATTTTTACTATATTTTAAGTTGAAAGACTCACTACTTAATATCACCTCCATTAGTTAGATACTCAATAAAATATCAATATTTTTAATATTATTTAATTTAAAAATTTATTAATATTTTAAATATATCATATTCTATTTTAAAATATACTTTTAATCTTAAAAATCTCAATTTTTGTTAGTTATTATAAAATTGTATTAACTAAAACAATATTAATTGTATATCTTGTATTAGCTTTATATAAAATCAATTAAAAATAATATTAAATATTTTAAAATAGATTGTATTTTTAAAAAATCTCATTTTTTATAATATATTATTTTATAAACTAATACAACATTAGTTTAATATTTCATATTAACCTTAAATAATATCAATTAAAAATAATGTTGATATATAATTTATATTTTTATGCATAATAGAGTCTGATATATAGATAATTTTATTTTATGATTTATAAAAAAAACAATGTATAATCTATTTAATTAATATTCTAAACTATAAAAATATGATTTGTCACAAAAAATGAGAACTAATAATAAATTGACAAGTGTCAATTTATTGAAAAAATAGTGAGTTTTTTACGGATATCTCAAATGAGAAACTCTCCCATGGATATCTAAACAAATTTTGTTAAAAATAATTTTTATTTTTATTTATTTTTAATTAGAGTCTCTCATTAGAAACTCCCAATAGGCCGAACCTCGACAATGACGCAAATACATAGATTGGTACAATGACAATATGTGTACATAAATCTCCAGATTTGTTCAAATTCTACACAACTTCTTCAAATAGAAATGTAACATTTTTTACCAAAAAAAAAAAATGTAACATCTGGTAAATGAATAAATGTAATAAGGTGATGTACGTTAAAAATGCATAAAATTCATAAGTTGTTAAATGCTTATTTCGTCATGATTGCCATGCAAGACTACTCACATTACCACATTTTTTGTGTGTGACAAAAAAAAAATTTTGCATTTTTTCCTTCACGTTGATCCATTCCTTTTTTATTCCTTTTTTATTGTTACGAACGTACGATCAATTCATTGACAAGGAACCGTAAAGGGAGAGCTGTGCCATGTGTTAAGTGTGCTTGTTTTTACACTGTCGTGTCGGTGATAAATTTAATTCATTTAACCTTCTTTTCTTTTTCTTTTTCGCTAAAATGTCATTTAATTTCCTTCAAATTTCCTTATATAATAATATATTATTAACTA